TGTTGTCTAGTTCACCGATTGTTTTTGTATTGGTATTATTTGTTCCTTTTTAGAGGTCTTAAAAAGGTCCTAAAAGTCATTACATTTGTACTTCAAAAATGTGCAGGTACCCTGGTTTAGTGCCAGGTGATTTGATGGGCCTTTGTAAACACTGCCTTCACCTCTCAGTGTTTGTCTGGATATCTTATGCTTCCCTGTCTTTGCTACTTCCTCAGGACGTATACACCAGTCGATGGTGACCTCACTGAATGAGGACAATGAGAGCGTCACAGTGGAGTGGATAGAAAATGGAGACACTAAAGGGAAAGAGGTAAATGACGTTTTATTACCACTCGTAGCACAAGCACCAGCCTGAGTATTCTTTCCTTCCCCACCTCAATAAATAATGCATTCAAAAAGACATTCAGGCGCTGTGGTGATTACATAACCTTCCTGCATGAAATACAGACATCACCCTCTGTACACTGATGACCTCACACAGCCTGCAGCACAGTGTTCAACAACACAGCAGACTTCTCTTGTTGCTTTTTTACATTTGTATTATATATTTGCTATCCCACTTATATATTCTCTTATTATATGGAGATGTTGTCAAAGAAGTGATGTACAATTGTATTTACATTCTGATATTGCAGTCAATTGGATTTATTTGTAAGTCAGTACTATTTTCTAGGGCTGCTCGATTATGGCAAAAATCCTAATCTCGATTATTTGGGTCAATAATTGATATCACGATTATTAAAAAAACAATTATTCATTTACTTTGAAAACATCAATTTATTGGAGAAAAAACATTTGAACATTATGTTTTTAACAGTTGATTACCCTGAACTTTAAGTATAACTCAACTGAAAAACCAATAATAAAAAAATTAATAATAATAATAAAGAAAAAAAAATTAATAATAAAATAATTATCGTTTTATTTCGATTACATTTTTTTTCGTAATCGTAATTGCGATTAAAATACGATTAATTGAGCAGCCCTACTATTTTCCATCATCTCAATCTCTCTCTGTTTTCACTTTCATCCTGTGTTTTCGGTTTAAAAGACGAATGGGGTTGGATAATGCTAACGTACAGTTATAACACAAACATAATCCCATTACGCTGTGTTGGTATCTAAAAACCATTTTAGTGTTGACAGTAAATTCACTCACTTAGTTCTAGGATCTCTTGTGTGGTCGTTGAGAATCGATGCTTTAGGTCCTGTATGGATAAATGACACTGCCTTTGTTTGATGCTCACAGACAAACACAGTCATTGGTGCAAGTCTGTTATATGTAATCAAGTCAGCATTAAAGTCATTAGATTATGATTCAAGTCTGATTTATGTCTAAATGACTCAATACTTCAGATTCACACTTAAAATAACACTTAGAACTGAGCTGTACTTTAAGGGTTCATATGCAGTATGGAAAGTATGTCACTTGTTTCATGTAATAATGAAAAGTTTATGGTTAAAATATATATCTTTTTGAACGTCATTTACATTCTGAAAATAAGTTAAATTTTGAAAAAAATATGCAAACCTTTTACTATGTCAAAGTAGTACTCTCCCACGTGTTACAACATTGAAAGGTGCATTTTATTCAGCTTCTTTGACTCTTCAGCGATCAATATATCCATTCATCTTACTTATTTGTTGGTTAATTCATGTAATGTGTTGGTATTAATACTCTTCTGTTTCTGGACAGATCGACTTGGAGAGTGTATTTGCACTTAACCCAGATGTGGCTCCAGATGAGGAAATTGCCCAAAGTCCAGAGACTCCACCCCCCCCTACACCCACAAGTGTGAAGGTCAATAAAATCGCAAAGGTAAGAGTCTGAATGCCAGCCTGTCTGCCAACTACTGTAACAAATGTTTGTTATATAATTTAAACAGTTTGAACAAAATAGTAATTTAATTTCTTTTGATTGGTTCCCTCCATGTGAGGGGAAGTCTGTAAAGTGCTCCGACTGGTTCAGGTTTTTATGATGCTGCAGTTTGCTGGACCTTAATATAGATCAGGGATCCTCCTAGGGAACCATCTCATTGGTCCTGTTAAGTACACAGTATATATAAGATAAGGGGACTAGCAGGTTAACACTGGCATTCTTTTGGGTAAATATTCCAGGTTTGAATAAATCTGACTTACAGTAAAAAATGTCAGGCAATGTAAAATGAGATGTTTCTGGGATAAAAAGTAGTGCAGTTTAATTGTTCAAATTGGAGCTATGCCACTCTTATAGGATGGTGTCATTTTGGCTTTTAACTATTTTAACTATTTAAGTGATTTTCGGTTGTGTACCTCTATCATCTGTAAAGTACATCCAGGGGTAAACTAGATCCGTAACCTGTGCAGGAATTATCCTACAGCCTTTTGTGATTTGGACAGGGTCTACTTTATTCCTTTTTTTAAGATACTTTGACATGAGTGCTTTGGCAGTGTCATGTCATCTGGGAGATTAGTGTTGATAAATGAGTTCTCTGTACTAATCTGATTCTCTGGCTTTGTCTATTTCTGTATCTCTACATTGCAGAGGAGGTTGAAAACCAAATAACAAAAAAAAGGATGTTTCCTTTCTCAAGTCTCAGAGCAGCCAATTAAATATGTAAAAGTGAAATTAGGAATCTTTGAACCCAATTCTCTTTTGATTTTTCTCGCAGAACCGTCGGACGATAGCGCCCATAAAGAATGACACTCCGTCCCGGGATAATCGAGGTTTGTTTCATGCATTTCCCTGGGAATAGATGCGTTCTCTTCTCATGGCTTGCTCTTAAATCTTGAATATGAACAAAGGGAGTCTTAGAAAAAGCACTGTTTAATACGTACAGGTGTCCAGTATTATCACATTACTTAGAATACCTAGATAAATGCTTTCTGGGGTAAAAGTCACTCAACATTAAACAGATTTCAATTAAGTCATTTTAAGTTTAAAACAGTGGGTTCAGCTTTAATAGCAAGTCCAAACCCGTTATGTGAGCATTGTGGTTTTGTATTTTCAGTGATTCCGACGCGGGCCAGACAACCCCCGCCTCCACAACCAGAGCCGGCCCCCCCTCCCC